TAAAACTGGGAAATACTGGCTCTTGTTTGAATGCTGCATGAAAAACTGCCTACATCATCGCACTTCTCGAGCCAATCTTTATGACAAAAAATCCTCTTTCAAATCTTCGTAGGCACATCAAGGTAATAATTGTGCATTTGATATAAATCTGATTAGCTGTATACGCTCAATTTTGAATTTTCTATTTAGAACTATTATGGTGGAGATCTTGGAGATGAAATGCTAAGTTTCAACAAAGCAGTGAAGACAGGAAGATAATCCAACAAGAAGCAGTATAATTTATTTATTTGCTATTACGGAACTATATTGCTGTTGATATACGGCCATTTTCTTTGGTCCTCTACGCTGGTTTAAGAGGTTTGCTGCGGCCCCTGGTCTACAATTTGGAGATCAGAGGTCCAAAATTCTATCGAAAGCTACTAGACAAGGAGTGCGAGGAGAAGGCCATGCTACTGAAGGAAACGTGACAGAGGTCCCATACGTCGGCATCACAGCTGACTGCTGGACAAAAAATTGCAGAAGCTACATCGGGATGACCGTCCACTGTTGGTCTGATGGTCTTACCCACCGGAGTGCTTTGCTTGCCATTCGCCAAACCAAAGAGAGCTACACCTATGATGTGAAAGCGAACACCATCAACGACATACACACTGAATTCAGCATTGAAAAGAAGTTTTTCATGATCCATCATGATGAACAACGGCTCAAACTTCCTGAAAGCATTCAACGTTTTTAGATTTCAACTAGTTGATGAGACCTCTTATAAATCCGTCTATAGGATTTCCGAAGAAAACAAGAGAACGGAGTTTTTCAAGATATCGAAGATTTTAAGTGTTGGGTCTGCACGTCCTTCCGTACCAGAGAAAAGGCAATGTCTTGATTCCGAACATAGCGATAAAGAAGCTTCAAACCAGAGCATCAATTCCATCAAGTTCTTATTTGGCAAAATTTGCCTTCCACCTCATTTTAAATGCGGATGCCACCTAGTTAACCTAGTAGCTGCCAAAGGCTGTGTCTGTTTCAAGGACCATCCGAGCTCATTTACAAAGTTGAAGAGAAAAGTTGATGGAAAACTGCAGGCAATCTGGAATCATCAGAACAGGAGTTATTTGAAGGCCGATCCGATCAAATCAATTATAGGCAAATTAATTGTTATTAACAATGCGACTTGATGGAACGGATACTACGACAATATGGAACGGGCTCGAGATTTCTTGGTCAACAAGAAGGATGCGTTTGACAAACTTTACAAAGACCTAGGTGACATCAAGAAATTTACTCAGGTTGAGGTTGAGTACGTCATTGAGTACACCATCATATTGAAGCCTTTGTCTGAGGCTCTGGACCCTTTCAAAACGAACTAAACGTCTCAATTGGATGTCTGTTGCCTTCTATCCAGCTGTTAAAGGAGGAGTTATCGAGAATGGAGAAGATTTCATCAATTGTCCATTGCAAAAACCTCATTAGACCCGTGCTGTGGGGTTTTCAGAAGATATTTGGTGACATGTTCCATGATTCAAGACTCCGTCTTGCTGCACTCTCTGATCCTCTATCAAGCTGTTTTGGGTATTTGAACAAGAGCGTTATTTGGACATCCGCCTTCTGAAAAGTCGCTAGAAAGGAAATTCTTCGAAATGGAAGCTCTTTGTAAGTAAAACTATTGTAGCCCATTTCTCTCAATAGCCTACTAGATCGAGTCCTGTTCTTTTAAAAATTGAGACGTAACATTTAAAACCTTTGAATTGAATTTCTGTAAAGGTCCGGCAGTTCTAACTTTAGCGGATTGACCGCGTATGAAAATCGTAGCACAAAGCAGCGAGGGCGATTCTTGGATGCCTACAAAAAGCGCAGCTTGAGTGATCTTGACAAGGTAGATTGTTACTTCAATGAGAAGCAAGGTGATCGATCTCATCTATACAGATATTCCACGATCAAATTAATTTTCAGGTATATTTTAATCATTTTTAAATCCACTATAAATCACAAAATGAACTGATTAAGACTTAAATAGTCTTAATCAGTCTGCGTAGCCCTCGTCTGCAGCTTGCGAGCAAACATTCAGTTTCGAGGGACTCATTTTCACTGCCAAACGGGATTGATGACCATCGACACCTTCGAGAAGTTGACTTTGTACAAGATCAACAACAACGTTTTTAAAGATTTGAAAGAGACTTTATTGACCGCAAAAAGGTGATTCTCTTCCTTAGTGCCCACCGCTCAGAGTGGCCTTTGGTCAAAGCAATTTGGTTCACAATTTTCCAATTGTCAGTCATGTTAGTTATTATTTAATTAATAATTGTATAACTGTTGTATATTCGTGTTACTCCTTCCTATTAAGTGACCAACTGACAGTTAAACCAATAGGAATGAGCTACCAATAAATAAATATTGGGAAAGGTATTGATACTTTTTTATAAGCGGATTTGTGAGCGAATTAGCGAAGCGCCCACTCAAGAAATTTTCTGAGCAGATTTGCGAGCGTCCGTTCATAAAAAGCTGCTGAACGATAAATTGAGCGCCGCTCAGAGTTTTCTGAGCGAATCCTAGGTTTGAGTATATCTATTTTAGAAACTGAGTTTTCAAGACTGTAATTTAGAATGAACTGTAAATGTTCAAGAAGACAATCATTTATCCATGTTTTTGTTTTTTCTTGTGATGCAGCAATAGAAATAAAATTTTTAAGTCTTTTCCTTTCAACGAGGAATTTTTCTTCATTAATGTCATCATGGTCATGACCCAGAAATTGAAATTCGTTTTATCATTTAAAAGATTTGATGGAGTAAAGTGGCATACTTTTCAGCAAGAATATGGAGTTTTTCAAATCTTAAGACAATTAATTAAATCCATCTGTCTAGGTACAAAAATATTTCCCTTTTCAGCTCCTCTTCTCTGTTTAAAATAATTTTAAAGCTGCTAATTTGATATCACATTGTTATATGTTAAATCCTTTTGTTTAGAGGTAGATCAGTGTATCATATATTTTCCGAACAATTCGAGAAAGCACAAAAACGAAAACCTGTTTTTTTGTTCATAAGTCAATTGCTCCACCGCATTTAAGATTTTTGAGTAATTTATTTTTGCAACACTAAGTGCATCTCCCCCTGTACTTCATTGTGTTTCTATTTTGTGTTTGACACATTGAACAAAAATCCCAGCGATGAGCCAAGGACGAGAAAAATGTGAATAACTGCTCCATAGTTCCTAAAAATGTAACAGAATTTATAGAAACTGATGCTGTCTGTACGCCTGCTTTAGTAAATGGTTTTTACATGCAACAAAATCTGTTTTTCTGTTGATTTCTACAATGTGCATATGAACACCAGTAGGGTTACCAGAAATCACAGCAAAATTACCATATGCTTGGCCTCTACAATTTTAAATATTATTTTGAATATATATTATATCTTTTTCTACTTTTTCCATATTATTATTTATTTATTTTTTTAATTTATTTACATTTACTTCGCTGTTTAATAAATACAATCAACTTGTATATACAAAAAAAGCGGAGGGGGGGGGGCAAGTTAATGAATAGGGGCGGCTTGGATTGGGTGTGGTATTTTAAACCCCAGAAACTATTTTCCTGAGGATCGCACTTATAACTAAAACACTTTATAGTTGGTTTTATGTGACTTTAATTATACATATTACATACATGTAAGACATTAAATAACCTAATTTTTTTCCTACGTTAATTGAGTTACAAATTATATTTTATAAAATAAGAAACATTTAATATTACTGAAATAGTTCAGTCATTTAAAAATATATTTAACTAGAAATATTAGAAAAGTTAGCATTTTTTAAAAAAATTCACTTTTCAGATAGTTTACACAATTTTTTTTCTGCTAGATTTCATTAAAGCAAAACGATTTATCGAGAAGTTAAAGTCAATGGTTTCAGCAAGCTCTTTTTCAATAGAAATTAGTGCTAATCCAGAAAGATGCTTGTTTGTCATTGTTGATCTAAGATATTTTTTTATAATCTTTAGTTTATTGAAATTGGGGATATCGATCAATACACATCTTTGAAAATCTCATACTCTACGACTGCTTCTTGAGTATTCACGTCGTTACAATAAATTTGACATAAATTTTCAAATAAATTTATATTTTCCTCAGATAATTTTGACTGGTCAAGACAATCAAAATGTGTAACTGTGTTACTAAAGTCGTGAAATCGTTTATTTATTTGGGTTATAATTGTATCCAAAACAATGAAGTAGGTTTCACATAAAAAGCGTGTTGTTGAATCATCTACTCTTTCATCTCTCCACAGCTCTCCTGTCATGCATTTCTTTTAGGCAACTCGCCTTTCTTTCAATTCAGTTTCTACATCTAGTTTGGCACATTTTTTACAAATAAATGATTCGACTGTTAAATGTAAAACTTCAAAAGCTGCATCGTTTCTCATATCGACAAACATTTTTTTTGTAACATCAATCAACTGTTTTGCAATTAAAACTTTTTGTAGCAAAAAGTAAACACAAAAAGATTATTTAACAACTTTTGCAAAAATAACATTAGAAAAACAAATGAACGTTTATTAACATTAAAGCTACAAGATAGATTAAAGATACAAAGACAATCAGAAATCGTTAAAAAAAAATTAATTATAAAAAACAAAAACTTAAAATCAAAAAAATTAAATTCAAATAAAAATCCTATCAGAAAGAAATTTTAGCACGGTTGATTGATTAAGTTAACGTCGTCTAACGGTTTCATTATTCATTTGTTCTTTTTTATTCAAGCGTTTTAATAGTTTTTAATGTTTTGATCTTAGACTTTTTTTTTCCCCTCTGTTTTAAATATTTTCTCTCTTTACTTTTGTACTTATTTTTATTCTTTTTTATTTTGTTTTTCATTGGTAATTTGAATTTATAATATATTTTTTTGTTGAATGTTTTAGGGGCGCCGTTTGACCGTTCAAGGGAGCATGGGGTACTCTTTACTTTCTAAACATGAACTTTGTGGAATAAGGCCACTGCGAGGAAAAAGAAGTTTATCACTACCGCATGTAATATGTATATATTACAATCATTAAATTTACAAAGAATATTTTAATGTCAGTTCTTCGTCAGGTTCAACTTTATATAAAGTATAAACATCATTTCCTACTAGATAACAATTTGGATTGATACTAGGTCGAATATAATGCATTTCAGGTTTAATATCTTTTGAAAAAATGGCGACTAAAGTATCTGGTTCGATACCTTTTAAAGCAACTAATCCTTTTTCTAAAGGTTCAAAGCGTTTCACGTAGCACTGTGAAGAAAACCATCGTTCTCTAAGGTCATCAATTCGACTTTTTACATAAGAACTACTATAATCGTAATACTTTGCAACCCATTCAACATTTCTATATTGGTCAAACGACAATACACCACGACAGTTATTAGAACCACATAAACATTTTAAACCTGATGCAAAACCTGATTCTGTTTCAAACATTTGGTAATCTATTGTTACCTCTTCACCAGCGTTGATGTTTTTCAGAGAAATAATAGCATTACCTTTATATCCGCAATTCGGATCACAACTGTGGTTGAAAAAAGCACAAATACAAACTAATTTTTTTTCTTTCCATAAACGCGGAACCATAAAAAGATCTTGATCAACCATAATTTGGTAATACATCAGAATGGGTTCATACTCAGGCATCGTGTTGCAGCAATTTATTATTTCTTCTTTGGTTTTTAGCATATCTTTGTCCGTATCGCGAATCGCGTAGTCACAAGTTAACTCATCGCACTCCAAAACAACTTGACCTTGTTCAATAGTTTGGGATGCAAACAAAGCTTTGCTACCAGGACCATATTTTTCTTCAGCATTACAAAGAACAATTTTCCTAATAAGGAGATTTTCTAAGTTTTCATTTTTTTCTGTCATCTTCTTATATATAGTTCAAAACTAATAACGTTCTTGTTTAGTATTGTTGTCGAGTCGAATAACAAATTTTAATCAAACAAGCGTTAAAGCTGATTACAAAAAAATTGAAAGTTTAAATATAAATTATTTATTTAAAAATGATATGATATGGCGAGATAAATAGTGTTGATTTCATATAAAATAACTTAAATAATATAATTATCTAAATTAATAAGTAATAATTTATTAATTTAATATTATTAAAGATTTTTTTTTCTTACGCTATTAAGTTTCCGGTTTTACATGTTGTGTAAAACAATATCTTCTTAAAAAACCGTTCTGGCGCTGAAACTTGAGTAAACTTTGCGTAACGTTATTTTTATTGGAAAATCAGCATTCACAAAACATTGCGCACAAACATTAACAATAGCTGTATTACTAACTTATTTACAAAAATTGTTTTCATTTTTTTAGAGAATTAATTAAGAACTAATAATTTAAGAATTTCATGTTGTTGTTTTTTTTTGTTTTTTTTTTTGTTTTTTTTTTTACATTTTCGTCATCGTTATAATAACTTATTTACAATATATTCATTTTGAGTTAAGATATGACAGGAGCAGACAGAAGACAAAAGTCTTATCACCCAGCCCCGTTATATCATTTACATATCAAACAAAGAAAAAATTATCCATCATATAAGAAAATACATATATATATATATATATATATATATATATATATATATATATATATATATATATATATATATATATATATATATATATATATATATATATATATATATATATATGCAATACAATACAAATATAAAGTTAAGTAATGATATAAAGTGTGATGCCGCTTTTTAACATAAAGAAAAGTTAAAGAAATAAAAAATAAGAGAGAACAAAATAAAGATTAAAAATAAAATATTATTTGAGATACGTCATAATCAAGTAACTGTTTTTTTAAGATATTTTTAAAAGTTTGGATTGAAGTTGTAGTTTTACTATTATTTTGGAGGAATTAGTTCCACAAATGTGGCCCTCGGTAAGTTATTGAGAATTCAGATTGTTTTAACAAAGTTTTTGGTACCTGATAATTAAGCAATGAATGCGTTGTTTGATATTTATGGTCTATAAAAAAGAAAAGATCCTCAAAAATATTAGGTAGCATATGATATTTTATTCTAAACATGAATAAAAGAATATTATAAATATTTAATTGGTAAACATTCAGCACTCCAAGTATACGAAGCAGTGGATTGGCACTGGTGTATTTATTAGCATTTAATATAAGGCGGCTTGCTTGTTTTCGCTTTTCCAAGATGAAAGTTAGTCTTGACGGATAAGTGCTTGCCCAAGCAATGTAACAATAACTAATATAGCTATGAATAAATAAAAAGTAAATAGATTTTAAACAGTTTTTATCCAACATATATCTAGTTTTATACATGATTCCAATAGTTTTTGAAATTTTATTTTCTATTAGATTAATATGCTCTTTCTAATTTATTTGCTCATCGATTAAAACGCCTAAGAATTTAACACAGTATGTCCGTTGCAATTTGGTTTTTTCTATTAAAAATCCGGGAGTTTTAAAGGCAACGTGTCAGATTTAGAGGATTTAAAAAAGAGAGTTGCTTTTAGTAGGATTCAGAGAGAGTTTGTTGGCTTTAAACCATTCATTAAGGTTATCAAGTTCACTATTCATAGTGGTAAAGATTGTCTTAATGTTAGAGTGAGTATAAAAAACTTGAGTGTCATCAGCAAAAAGATTGAAGTTTAGTATACTAGATGATAAGTAAATATCGTTGATATAAATAATAAACAACAAAGGCCCTAGAATAGAACCCTGTGGAACTCCACAGGTAATGTTTTCTAATTTAGTGTAGAATTTGTCATAAGATACGCATTGTTTGCGATTTTTAAGATAAGAACAAAACCATTTAAAATTATTATTTTTGATTCCATAAATTTCAAGTTTGTAAAGCAGAATATCATGGTTCATGTAAAGAAGAATATCATGGTCCACAGTATCAAAGGCCTTAGAGAGGTCAATAAACACTCCAAGAGTATATTGGTTGTTTTGAAATCCATTTAATATCTTTAACTAATTTAATTACTGCATGTTCTGTCGAGTGTCCTTTTCTAAATCCGTAATGATTATTATTTAAAACTTTGTGAGTTGTGAGATAATTGTAAAGCCTATTATGCATTATTCGCTCTCGAATTTTAGAAAAACATGGGAGTATTGAAATAGGTCTGTAATTAGATAACTTTGAGATATCACCATCCTTAAATATATGAACTACTCTTGCTTGTTTTAAGAGATCAGGAAAAACGCCATTTTTAAATGAAAGATTAAAAATATTAAGTAAGGGGTTCTCAATAATATCAAAAACTTCTTTAACAACCTTTGGGCTTATACCATCAAGGCCTGCGCTTTTGTTTGGTATTATCATGTTAAAACCAAACCGAAGTTCAACAGGTGATACCTCAAGCCCATCCATTACATAGTCCTTTTCTTTAAGATATGATTTAAAAAATTTTTTTCCTGGTGTTATTTTGTTTGCTAGGTTTTTACCCACGTTTATAAAAAAAGTTATTAAAACTGTTTGCAATATCTTTTTTCTCATTAGTAATTGTTCTTTCATCCTCAGTATATAAATATTTCGGTAAATAGTTACCACGAGTTTTCTTTTCCTATCACTTCCTTTATTATATCCCAAGTTTTTTTGTTATTTCCAATATTATTTTGTAATAAAGTTGAGAAATAATTTTTTTTAACTTTTTTTTTCAAGTTTTCAAACAGGTTTTTGTAAGTTTTATATTTTTATCCGTTTTGATAAGATTTTTTTTAAAAATATTTTTCATAGAGTTTTTTTTTTCTTAGAAGATTTAATAAATCCTTTTGTAATCCATGGACTTTGTAGGCTTTTAAGTTTTCTTCATCGGGAACGCTTTGTCGTAAGCATTAAGAAACTCGTTGTAAAAAAATGCATAAGCTTTATTTGTATCTTTACAATTATGTAGTTGTTTCCAGTTTATTTTGAGTAAATAATTTATAAAGTCCTTAATATTAAATTCAGTAATCTGCCTTTTTATTTCCGTTAGTACTTTGCTTTTCTTTTCTTTTGTATAAAAATCAGATACAAAAAAATTGGAAAGTGGTCGCTTATATCGCTTTTTATGATTCCGCTTAAAATGTTGCATGTTGTGAAAATGTTAGTAAAAATATTATTAATGAGAGATTCTGTTAGAAGAGCTACACAAGTAGGCTTGTTTAATTAGGGAAGAATGTTGTTTTGAAAAAGAGAGTTTAAGAAATGTTTTACATCGTTATCAGTTTTAACATTAAAAATATTTAAGTTAAAGTCCCCCGTGATGTAAATTTGTTTATTTTTTACTTTTTTTAAATACCATTATAAGTGTTTTTGAAAAGATTTTTATTTCCGCATGGTGGTCTATACAAAGCAGTTACTAAAGCGTTTTTTTTATTGTGGTTTAGTAATTCAATAGTTAATGATTCATAATCCGCATTTTGAACGCTGAGAATTTCTATTTTCTGGTAATGGATTGACTAGTGAATAAAAATGCATACACCGCCACCAACGCCACCACCTCAAGTTTAGTGAATTGCTATTTTTTTACTAAAACCAATTAACAAAATGTTAAACAATTAATTCTCAACAAAAATTTTTAATTCATTTTAACCGATTTTTTCATTTGCAATATTTTCAAATGTTTTTTTTTTTAAAAAAAAAAAGCAACTAGAAATGTCTAAATTACTTAAGAAATTTTTTTTTTTAAAATGAAATTACTTTGTGCAATAGTAGGGGAGAACCTTAATGAATGGGACAGTTTTCGTAAAATGCATTTTTTGAGGTTGATAAATTTGTTTAAAAATCACTTTGAAAATAGTTTGATAACTGTTAACTCTCGTACTATGATAAACAAAAACAAAAAAATTGATTCCGCATATGGGTATTGGTAAAAAGAGAGTTTCATAAGACCGTGGCATTTGTCCCATTCATTAAGAAACTACTCATTGAATGGGACAAATAAAATTATTGAATGGGACAAATCTAAAAAATTAATAAATAAAGAGAGGTCCTAAGTAACTTTCAAGCCAGTCAAGCAGTAAGGGTAGTTTCTACCATTAGGGAACCCGAAAAAGCTACAAATATGGCCGAATGTCTGCATATATTGACAAACCTAAAATAGTTTTATTAAAAATATATGTATATTAAAATTAAATTAAAAACACGAATAATTGTTTTTAGTAAAACAAAAAAATTTATTAAAAATAAAATTATGTGTGACCACAACTAAGTTGCCGAAATATATTTTTCTACTTTTTTCATATCAGGCTGTTTGGACAAGTCCCATTCAATAATCAATACTTTGTCCCATTCAATAGGCTTCCCACTATATCCACAAATGACAGGACAGGTTAAAAACATTAATACCTAAACAAAAATACTTTACAAATTTAAAAAGTAGAGACATTTGGGTGTTGAAAATTGGAGTTTCATTTTCCTTAACTTTAGTAATCGCTGCAAAATCAGACACAGAAAATTGTTTTTAAAAATTACTTATTGTTCTTCAAAACACAATAACATCCAATGCCATTACGTTTAGACCATAATAGAAATAAAGATTTGGTCTGTTGAATGGTTGTGTCAAACACTTATTACCACAGGAGTTTGGATAGCCACCGTAGATGCTTCTATGCAAATTTGATTTTGTCCCATTCAATAATTGTCCCATTCATTAAGGTTCTCCCCTACATCAAAATAAAACCGTTTCTACCCAGACATAATTTTTGAAAAACTATATTTTGACTCCAAGTGTTGGATTATGTTTGAATTATGTTTGACTCCTATTGTCACTCATTTTGTTGATTCTAGTAGGGGAGAACGGGGTGAGATGGGACATGGTGATTTCTCAGCAAAAAAATTGTTAAAGCAGTTTTTTTTTTTATATAAGTGATAAGATTACAATAAGTACTTCATATTATTGTGTTTTTTGGGTTTCAAAAGTATTTTAAAATTCAAATTATTTTCAAATATGTTAAAATCTAACAAGTTTCCTGGATTTTGAAGACATCATTAACAATAAATATTTATGTTATGTTTCCATATATTTTTATGTTTATGGTTTTTAATTAATCATTATTGTCTTATTTAATTACTGAAGAAATATAATTAGCAAATGGTTTAGAGAACTATATAAAATAAAGGTTTTCTCACACCTACTAGTATGGGGTGACTTGGGACAGAAGGCTTGGGGTGAAATGGGACACTTTTCAATTTTACCAGTTGTTTAATTTGTTATGTTTTAATTTTTTCGATCATTTATTTTTGTAAAAAAACAAGTTAGCAGAAAATTATGTTTATGTTTATGGCAAGATTTCCATGTGTACTTTATGTTAATATGTTTTTTTTCTTAGAAAAAAAAAATAGTTCTATAGAACTTCTTTAAAACTTTATCTTGGTTGTTAAAGACATTTTTCACAGTAAGTATTGTTTTATAAAGATTATTTTTTAGCACTGTATTTATAATTCAGTTTAAATAAAGGTCTTTACTGTTACCCTTTTTAAATTTAATTTCATTATAAGTTTTTAGGGTTGTGGTACTATTTTATTTTCATTAATAACATGGATTTTAGTTTATGCAATTTTAAAAAAGCATAGTTTTTGAATAATAGAGTGAGTAATGCATGTAATATTTTTCAGATGCCAAGAAAGTACAAACAAGTGACGAATCGGTTAAAGCCTGATGCTCATACAATAAAAGCCGCTGTGATGGCTGCTGAATCTGGTAGTTTATCACTACGAGCTGCTGCACTGGAATATAAAATTTCGAAATCAAGTTTACAGCGGAAAATAAATGTTAATAAAAAAACTTCTTACAATGACTTATACTTTGATGAACAACATAAATATATTTTTAAGGCGCAAGAAGATGAACTATCAACTTATCTTCATCCAGCATCTGATATGCTTTATGGACTTAATGTTAGAGAAACAAAGCAACTTGCATATCAATATGCAATTAAAAATGACATTAAAATACCAGAAAACTGGAAAAAGAGCTGAAACTGAATGGTTTTATTTATTCTTAAATCGTACAAAATTATCTATTCGTATGCCAGAAGCTACCAGCCTTGGTAGAACAACTAGTTTCAATCGCACCAATGTAGATACTTTCTTCAAAAACCTTGACAGTGTACAGAAGCGCTATAAGTTTTTCTGCTGATTGCATTTACAATATTGATGAAACAGCTCTTACAACTGCTCATAAGCCAGTGAAGGTGGTTGCGGGTAAAGGAGTAAAGCAAGTAGGACAGGTAACTTCTGCTGAAAGGGGAACCCTAGTTACAATGATAGGTTGCATAAATGCTCTTGGAAATTCTATTCCACCGTTTTTGATATTTCCCCGTGTCTACTTTCGTAGCCACATGCTTAAAGGTACACCAACAGGTACCAAAGGTGATGCTAATCCTAGTGGATGGATAAATACAGAAATATTTTTGAAATGGTTTGATCATTTTGTGCAGTATGGACATCCTAGCCAGCATCATCCATTACTTTTAATAATGGACAACCACAAAAGTCATATATCAATTGAATTGATGGATAAAGCTAAGGAAAGTAATGTTGCGCTTTTGACATTGCCACCCCATTGCAGCCACAAACTCCAATTACTTGACAGATCAGTATTTGGACCATTAAAGAAATTTTACAGTTCAGCATGTGATTCATGGTTAAAGGCACATCCAAATACTCCTATGACGATATATGAAATTTATGAAAATTTAGGAATAGCTTATGCGAGAGCCTTTACTTCCCAAAGCCTTCAAAATGGTTTTAAGGCAGCTGGCATTTTTCCGTACGATCCATATGTTTTTAGTGATTTAGAATTTTTATGTTCTTATGTATCTGATCAGCCAATTCCAGCAAATATCTCTACCTTATCAGCCAGTTTGTCCAGCAGTATTTCTTAACTGGTCAAAAAAACAATTTCTGTCAGTATAGCTAATGTATACGATCAGACAGACCCTGCAACTAAGGCTTATAATTTAAGTAAATCATCTGATTCGCAAATACAAACGATCCATACACCACTATCTATTGTATCAGAAGTTATTAATGACAAGAAAAAGGAAATAAGCACTTCTACCTACCATTGGACAGCAGAAGATATAAGGCCATTTCCAAAAGCGGGTGAGAGGGTGACAAAGAGAAAAAGTGCAAAAAGAAAATGTTTTAGGTCTCTGGTATTGACTGACACACCAACAAGAAATGAACTAGTTGTAAGTTTATTAGAATGTAAAAAAAAAAGGAAAATAAAAATAAGAAAAAGCAAAAAAGTTACCCCTTGAGACATCAACGCAATATTGACTCTATTTAAACATCAAGCGACCTTGTTGAACAAAGTTATAAATGCATTTAGAATATTTTATTTTAATTGTACACAAATAAATGTTGTGTATTGTTATGTTATATAAGAAGTAGAATAGGCAATAAAATAATGCTCAAAATTATTTATTTCTAACTTGTCCCATTTCACCCCAATTGTTGTCCTATTTCACCCCAACACGGGGTGACATGGGACAAACAGTGTCACATTAAAAAAACGAGGCCGTGAACTTAATTTGATGGTTAAGTAATGGGTTTTTAAATAATTTCCCATGACAACTCATTAGACTACAGTTTTAAACCAAATTGTATGGTGTTTGACAAAAATATAAAGCGCGGCAATTAAACAAATTTTTTTGTCCTCTCTCACCCCGTTCTCCTACTAAGAAATTAAAAACTAAATTTTTTGCTAATAGAAGGGGGAAGTTTTAAATTTTTACTTGAACCCAATATAGAGCATACCCAGACAGCAAAAATATACTAGTCTGATAATGGATAGCCTGTACCAGCAAATTCATCAAAAGTCCGTTAAAGTTCCGTTCTTGCATTGCCGATTCTGGGAAGCCGTAACAGGGCCATTTCCGAGCCTTTACAAAATTGCCTGAGCAGGATAGCCGTAAAAACCATTAAAGGTCCAACAAAAATTTGCCGAAGTAGAACAACAGACATTGGACCGATACTGGCACATTAGTTGTAAAATCAAATTAATATTAATATAAACTAGAGCTATAGCATTTGCGTACACAGAGCAGATTTTCGCATCCATCTTGAAAGTCATAACGACTTTCACTTTTCATACAAATATATCTAAGAACTTTATTTTTTAAAAAATATTTTCATATGAGAATTTAGTCTATTTAATGTTTTTTTGAAATATTTAAGATACTTTAAATTATAATCATACAGTGGCAACATTTTAAATCCATCTATTTATAATAAAATGTTAAATTAATTTATTACACGTGTTATATACTTTATTTAGAATCTAACGTGAAGTAAATTAAATATTATAAAATCTCAAAACATGAAATTGGGAATGGAATTTTGGTCCATAATAATCCAAGTACCACATGTTTCAATAAATATGTTTGTAAGTATCCCACACTTGGTTGTAATTTTCATTTTGATATTGATTACATTTTAGTTCACAAAGTAATAAAAATTCTATACTCTTAGTCTAGGTAATTAAGGTTTGATGTCATGGTTAGATGCAACTTTTTCGTCACTAATAAAAATAAATGTTGTTGTAACATGATAATCATGTTGTATATATGTTGTGACCATGTTTACATGTTGTTTCTATGTTGTATAATTTATACAACATAGAAACAACGTATAAACATGGTCACAACATATGTATTGTTGAAACATATATAACATGTAAATCATTTACTTAAGTAAATCATTTACTCATTTACTAAATGACTTTTAAATTAGCTAATATTTTATAAACGATTAAATGATTACTTTAAATTTTCATATTTGAATTAAATGATATCTATATATATATATATATATACATATATATATATATATATATATATATATATATATATATATATATATATATATATATATATATATATATATATATATATATATATATATATATATATATATATATATATATATATATATATATATATATATATATATATATATATATATATATATATATATATATATATATATTGGTTAGCAGCAACAACATCACCAACAACATAAAAAATAAATTCACTTTAGAATGCTGTAAGTAAAAACTTGTAATATAGGTATATAAGATTCATGCGTGAAAATGTGAGAAAAAAACTTTAGATGTTTACTTGTTAAAGAAAAACGGCAAATTTACCTTTTCAAATTTTGATTGCACTCAAAAATATCTAAAGACGGGGGAAATTTAAAAAATCTCCACTTAGAAAACAAAAAACCTACCCTATTAAATACAAAAAAAAAAATTACCAAAACTTATTGACATAATAAATAAATAGTTGTAGAATCTATTTTTATGTAGGGACGAAAGAAATATCCTAATTGATTTGTATTTAAACAAAACTGAAACATTTAAAGTTAAATAACTTTATCAGTTCTTAAGCAAAACGTCGTTTTTAAACAAAATATTGTAGTACATCCTTTTCTAAAAAAAATAACATCTGCCAGTTCTTGTCCTGCAGTGGATAGCCATTGTTTCGTCATCACTGGCTAGCCACGCCTGGTTTATGAAAAATCTTTAAAGCAAAACAGAGCTTTGCCAACGTCAGCAGCCGCAGCTGGTCCAGTTCTGGTAGCCTACGCAGGACCAGTGCGGGACCATTATATCCTTACTGTCTGGAAATATAGGATGGTACTGGGCAGGACGAAACACTTAAGGATTGAAAACGAGCTAAATAAACTTGGCAGCATAAGAAAAAAATAATTTACCGCCAACTAAACAGTGCTTCCTTCAAAACCTGTGAAAAAAATAATAAAATTAATTTTCACGTAGATCCATAACTTGCTTAAAAAATAAAAGTAACGTGTCTAATTTTTTTCTTTTCTTTTTCTTCATTGTTTCCATATACTCATTACGGGTTTTACAACCTAAACAGATTTTTTAACTTTATATTTAATAACTTTATTAATCAGCAGTCTAAAACAGATTACTATATCATTACAGTTTAAAAACAAAAATATTAAAACAGTATAATCGCTACCTTCAGAATGGATTAGTTTGTATATGTCTCTTCTGATCGACTCTGTGCTTATTTTTAATTCTTTGATATCTCCTTCAAAATAATTTAGAATGCTAAAGATTAACAGAGTTTGATCTCTTATACTGATACTATCTCTCATGCATGTAGGTTTGGTTGCAGCAATCAAACCATCTCTAGTGATTTCTTTGTTTACTTCTAAGGCTGAGGGATCAGATCTGTGTCTTAATTTAGATATATCAAGTTTATCAGCCAAATTCATTGCTAAAGTAAGGGCAATAATCTTCTCTATCAGGGTAGAACTTGGCAGGATCAATCTAAAAAGTAGTTTTTAAAATGAAAAAATCGAATCTTATTTCTGTCTTGCATGACATGATATTAAAAAAGATGGGGGAGAGAGATGGGTATAAATTAGAAAACATTGACCAGGAAATACTTTTAAAAGAGACAAAAAAAAATTATACCTAAGGCTAATCTTCCTTTACATTTTTTAAGAGGTGGTTCATCTTCTTCACTGATATAGTTCTGATCTTTATTGCTTGTTCTTCCTGCATCATTAGGAACCAACCGATCTGTTTCAGCTTTCTTCCTCAGCTCTTCGTGCCTAGTGTATCTGTCAATTCTCCTCTCAATCTAAAAAAATCAAAACTTTAAAAATTTAATATATAAAAATGTTTAAAGGTTAAACAAATCTTAATCAATTTCAGCTTAATAAAGTGTTTCTTACTCTGGCCTCTGACTTTTTATCAACGCAAGCACTGACACAGATTTTTCTGTCTCGTTTTTGATCTTAAAGAAATTCAAAATCTTTCTTTATTGTAGCACAGTCTCTTGAAACAGGGCCGCCGAGAGGGAGGGGCAAAAGGGGCATAAATTGCGTCGGGTGTCATGATAATTGGGACACCAAAAGACGACAAAAAGAAAAAAAACATAATGAGATTTTTATTTAAAGCAAAAAAAAAAAATGTCTTAATTGATGAGATTTAAAATAAACTTGGTCACACGTGCACAACAACTTGGTTACACGTGCACAACAACTTTTTATTACCAAGAATTATTGTTTAAATAATTTCTTTACTTTGGTTGGTAGGAATCAACCAAAAAAAAAAGTATAACTTTTTTTTTATAATGACAATATTGAAGAAGACACTAGGTCTTATCCAAAAAAAAGCATTATTCATAAATCTCATAAATGCTTTTATGATTATTCTGAAAAAAATTTATTATCGAATTTTGATAGCAAAATTAAAAAAAAAACTGGATTATTAATTTTATTTGCTAAGGTTTAACAACTTCTTAAGGAGTTTTAAAATCTCCACGCAAATCAAATGTCACGCCTACCCTCAAAAAAGATAACAAAGTCAAGACTTATAACTACAAGCTGGTACCTCTCACCAATACTGTGTAAAGTGCCGGAAAGAACATCATATATAGAATTATGAAGCACTGAGTACAATATAATACGAAAGTCTCAACATGATTTTGTGCATCACAAAGATTGCTTACAAACCTGATTAAATCCTTTAACATTTTAACATTTTACCGATTACCGATAATACCTAGTTGACAATATTAACTATTAATAATAATTAATAATAAATGAGTTTGCCAAAGCATTCTACACAGTGTCATACAATGACTTCTTTATAAGACTCGTGCCAATGACATTTGAACTGGATTATTAGTTGGGTAGCTATGGCAACAACGAGTAATAATTAAAGAATAAACGCCGGAATGGAAAAGGGTGACGAGTGGCGTCCCTCAAGAATCAGTTCTTTTATCTCTGCTATTTGTGTTCGTCATCAATGAATTAATCCGGACTGAATTTATAACCGTACCAAAATATACGCCAATGATGGCGAGATCTTATGAGTTATCGATGACAATGAATTTTCATGTGACCATGAAAAATTGTAAGTGGACACCAACAGCACTGTTAATTGGTCCCACAACTACTTTGTAAATTTAAACGGCGAGAAGTGCAAAGTAATGCAAGTTAGTTGTTGCAAAAACTAATTAATAATACCATGGTTGAAAATGACGTTAACGAACACAACCTAGTTTCACCATGCTTTGAGCATGACATTATAGTACTAGTATCTAACAATCTTAAAGTACAAATAGAAGCAATAACTTGGGTTGACCATCAAATCCTTAGTCGTTTTAAGAAGTTATTTTGGTGTCAGAGCTCTCTAGCTATGGAAAAAAACTGTACCAGCTGTATATTAAACCACATCTAGAGTTTTGTATTTGCAAATTTCACTACTCAAACTTGTCCAACAACGCGCATTATTGTTAATTAAATATTTTAAAATTTGTTTATTAATCCTAACTTGTGAATGTGCTGTATAATCCAGATGCAGTTCTTGAAAGTACTTAACAATATTAAAATTACTATTAGAAGTATAATGATATAATATAATAACAGTATCAGAAATAAAGTAACAGTATTAAAAAAAAGTCACTAACTTGTATAATTGCACGAGCTTTTAATTTAACAACATGCATGCTTATAGGGGCGCCTAAATGCTGCTATGCCCCGGGCATCATGAAGAGAAACCTCAAACTGTTGAAATCAAACGGTTTACCCGTCATTATCAGTAACTTTTCTTGTTATTTTTGAGATGGATTTGGTTTCGTTTTAAGTATTTTTTTATTACAAACAGTTTTATATTGCTTGTAAATTTCCAGAAACTCGTTTAATATGCTTTTTTCTGAAACAGTATAGTTCTGAAAACCACAAGAGACCCAAATATTTACGACACTCCGGAGCAAACATTATTCTTTTTTCACAGCAATCCAAGGCCCATTAATTCCTTTGCATTTCTCCAGAAAATGTCTTTTGAGCACAAGCAATGTTGGTCTTAGTTTACGTGAATCCTTTATCCCTGAGAGAAATAATGTACAGAAAGTATCTTATAACATAACGATTAGTTGGCAGTTACCTGCTAGGTAGAGAGCTTAGTTAAATTTTACGGAGATAGACAGGTCTTCTTGGGTTGTAATTGATTGCCTTTACAGATCCTTCTCTAGCTTTTTCTCTTCCCAATTTTCTGAAATATTCAAATGTTTGAACCACAAATAGAATTAAAGATTTAGAAAATTAAATGTAAATAATAATCAACTGTGTAATTAATTGTATTGAAAAATAATATTGTAAGAACTTAATAGCTGACAGTAGTAGCGGTGAGGTGGTGAGGTCATGAGGTTATGGAAAAGATGGTTGGTGGGCAACGCTGATATGATTATGAATATAAATAAACAAATGCATTTTTAATACACATCAGCAGAATTACTTCATTATTTCCTGTATTACGTACGCTAAAACAGGAACTCATTTTCAAACGCTATCTGTTGAAATTTGTTTAATAAACGGATTTTTTAACATTATAATATATGTATTATTTTTAATGTTTGGAATTATCAAATAAAGCTATTACTTTTGTTTTATAAAAATTTTTTTTCAGAAATTTTGGGCCACATGATTTGGTAATGTTCAAAACAATACATGAACCTCTTTATCAGACAATACACTGAAAAAATAAATTAAGTATCTCCTGTTAAAGTTAAGTTACAAAAAACATAATTCAAGTTAACAGTACTTCAAAAATAAACTAAAATACTTTTAATTCTTAAGGGATAATCAAAAGCGTACACAAAATATAACAACACTAAAATAGTGAATGAAAATGAAGAAATTACATAATTTCCATACTTATTTAAAGCTCATATAAATTCTATTTTGTCAATCAAATATCAAGATATTGCTTTTGTTTTATATTCTAATTAATAAACCTGTTTTATTAATTAATATTAATTAATAAACCTGTTTATAAAACAAAAATTCCTGAATGGATTTTTACTTGTAGCTGTTAAAAGTATCAAGCATACTTTATGTTTTGCCTGGAAACTTATATTATTTAAAAAAATCTATAGGATAGGCCACTAAAAAATGCAAAAAGACAAAATTTTTTTTAGCTAAAGTGTTAGCTAAAAAAAATTTTGTCTTTTTGCATTTTTTAGTGGCCGTAGTATGCACATCTAATTGCGTGCTATTATAGCCTAATTATGTCTTCTATCTTCTAGGTTTTGAAAAAGTTTTGTCCGAGAAACAAGTTTGTAAATAAGTTGAAAAAAAAAAGAAAACATTTTACATAGAAATAAAATTTATAATCATACGGGAAAAATAAGTGGGTATCTAAATCAGAAACTCAAATAGCATTCCGAACATTGCAGCCGAGATGTAATGATTATAGTTCTGGCTTCAGAACTGGAATTCCGCGCTCTGACTATATATATATCATTGGTAAGAAAGGAGGCGTACCATTTAACTTTCTCTTTAAATGGCATTCCGCGGAATACCATTTTTTGGAAATTTTTTGGAAAAAAGCATGAAATTTAAAGCATGAGAAGCATTAGAGTCTTTTATGTTTTTGTTTTTTAAAGTGTTATTTAAAACTAATTTTATTATTTTAAATAGTAACTCTCTCAAAAAAAAAAAAAAAAAAACTATTCTCAAAAAAAAACCCACAATAACTGAAATTAAAAGAGATTAAAAGCAAGGGCTTTATCTTGTTTGTTGAGTTATTTTGTTTGAATTAATTCTTTTTCCTTTTTATCTTTTTCAATTTTACTTAAAGTGTCCAGGTTACACAAGTCCTAATCACAGTAATTTTATTTTACTTATCTTCTTTGCTGTATTATTTTGCCCTAAAATTTTTAAGTTTAATCTTTTACAAAGAAGATAACATTGAGATGGCCAAAACAAACAACGAGGATAAGGAAGATAAAGAAGATAACATTGAGATGACCAAAACAAACAACAAGGATAAAGAAACTTAGACAGCGTCATGGAAAGCTGGTTTTGAAGAGTACCAAATGTTTGAAAATCAAAAAAAAAAAAAAAAATTCAATTATTTTTAATTTGGTGACTTCCAATAATACTAGTGCTAAATTTGATCATTTTATTTGATACTTTGCTTATTTTAGATTTCAACAGTAGGCACAATTTTAAAACTCTTGTTTTGCAAACGAATTTTTTAGCAGATTTTAAATAAATATTTTCATTTTTTAATGATTCCAATGTTTTATATTTTTATAATTATAATATAATTTTTTTCCAAGAATATTTGTTATCATTCGATAACAAATATTATTGGAAAGAAATATGATGGTAAAAACTGAAATGGCATGCATTTTTGTTATTTATTCTTAATTGACCGAAGCTACATAGTAACCTGGCAAAAATGGTAAAAAGCGATAGTATATTCAGTATATATTTTAAAACATATATATACCAAGTTATGCTTCTAATGTTTAAGACAAAATATGGTTGATCTCCTAATATATTTCACTCTTACACCACCGAAATTACTCATAAATACCCCACAAAGTATTCAACTAATAATTTTGTTGTTCCAAGATCTTATTTAAAACTCAGTTCGTTTCAAATTCAATACCGTGGACCATTTATATGGAAATGTTTTTTGAAAAATATTATTAAAATAAAACTCTTTTAAATTTCTCACTAGAACACTTCAAAAAAAATCTAAACGATATCTATTAGAAATTACTTCGATCTTAAAAATTTTTTTTAAATAAATACCTATTTTTTTTAAAATAAGTACCTAAAATAATTAAACTGAAAAAAGTCATCATTACTGACTTATTTCTGTCTTGATTTGTTTCTTATTTTCTTCTTGTAAAAAAGAAAAATAAATAACTAAATAAAAATATATATTTTACTATACGATTTACTAATTGTAATATATTGCGTTTTTCTATATATTCTTCATACTGTAAAATTTTAACTTTTAACTTTAACTTGTTACATAAACTGAACGCGACAATGTAAACGGGGCTCGGCGATAAGACAATCCACGTCTTCTTCTTGCTTCGGCCATTTATCATACGTCTATCTTTTTTATAGGAATTTTTATTAAACGGCTAGGGAAATATATATATATATA